TTCATCTAAATAAAATATATTTCTTCTTTGATTTCTCATTTCTTTTATAGTCCTTAGGTAATTTCTTCTCCATACTATAATATCGCTTCTTTCTATTAAAATAGACTTTCTGGAATGCTTTTTCCATAGAAAACCTATTTCTTTTAAAAGTTTCCATAGTGTGCTTCGACTCATTTCAGGGTAATCCTTATCATCTCGAACCCTGGCAAGAACTTTGTCTACTGTCGGAAATACTTTTCTAAAGAAGAACGCATGCACTTTCCTTCGAAGTCTTTCTTTCAAAAGATTTTCTAATTGAAATTTTGGTTTTCCTGGAGCTTTACGTGCTGTTTGAAACTCGCCACATTTCTCTTCTTTAACAACTCTGTAAATCGTAGATTTCCCAACACCAAGCGTACTACTAACTAATTCCACTGTGTCATCAACACTTTTACATAAATGTTTGTCTGTAAATGATTTAAAACAATTAAATATTAATGTTTTTTCATTAACTGTTAAAGGACCGATTTTTTGTCGTTTACGCGGCCCTTCCAAATTTTCCATGATCACACTAGAATTCACACTGCACCTTGCAAGTTGCAACTAAACGACATTTAGTAAACTGTCAAGAATACACAACTTGGACCTCCTTATTAAATGGAAAACCTATAATCGCATTTTCGGTAAAATTTGTTGGGAAGGTATTTATCTACTTATAATTAGATTACTGTAAGAAATTCTTGGAATTAAAATAAAACAAAATTGGCAAATAGGTACTTATTGGCCTGTCCAAACCTTTTTCTATTGTTCTGTACAGCTTATGTTTATAAAGGACCAATAAAAGACCCAAAACTTGTAATAGATCAGGTACATTTATTACAATTTTAGGAAATATTTAGATTATTCTGTAAAAATATTTAAAATGACCGTACTAAGTTTTGCATTAGAAATGCTGTTTTATTACTCTCTCATACATAAAAATAGACTATAAGAACAGATAATATTAATTTTTAATTTATTGGAAATATTATAAAATCATTATTTAAGTTAAATATTAGGTTGTCATTTTTTTATTATGAATTGTGAAGTAGATAAAAAAAGAAGTTTTTAAATGCGAGTCTAGAAGGAAGTTTTGGTTTATTAAAAATGTTATGAACTAAAAGCGTTGAATAAAGGTTAGAAAAAAAGTAAAGAATGTTTAATTAAAAGTTAAGCAAAAAAAACCAGGTGTAGAAACAGATATAGAGACAGGCGCAGAGGCAGAGCCAGACATAGAGTTAGAAACAAACCAGATATCAGAGATCAGAAATAGTGCCCTCCCTACAGATACAGGAGGAGGAAATCGATAGAAACTCGACAGTATATAAATAGCAAAGGTGACAGTAGACAGCAGACAGAAGGGAAGATAAATTGTAATTTTATTTTAGAAAAGTTGTTCAGAAATGTATTTGCTAATTTCAAATCCTAATGTACTAACACCACACACTGTATTTTCGACAATACTCATACTCATAATGAGTTGGAAAGTTAAAGTATTTTTGAAGCAGCTTGGGAGGCCATGGAACAAGCAGGACTGGAAGAATTGGAATTAGCAGAAGATATTGGAGAAGTAGATGAGCAACTTGAGGGAGATGACAAATTTTGGTTATGTGCTGAACCAAAGTTAGTTAATTTTTATTTAAAATATTTAATAAAAGAAATTGTAAGAAGAAATTGATGTAATTTATTTTTTTGTGATTGTATTTTGTTACGTGAAATAAAATGTTTCATTAAAAATAAGTTGTTTTTTTTAAGTATTTAATTTATTTTGACCAATTTTTACTTTCAGTGAACGAAGAAAAGATAAAACAATACATTATATTTTTTTATGAAATTAAATCAAAGCATATATATTATGTACAATAAAATGTACATGTGTACCATAAAATTTTCGTCAACAATACAAATTAATTGTGAGCTTCATGGGATTATTTTAAAAAAAAAATATTTTATATTATGTACTACTGTATATTAATGCAGTTTCCAAAAATCAGTTTCTTACTTTAAATATACCAGCAGTAGAACAGCCTTAAGTAAGAAAGTAAGAAACAACAAACAAAAAACAGCTGAGGAAAATCAACAACGTAAATAGCAGAATGTTTAGATTTACAAAATTCAGATCATCCAGTTTTAGTTCTCTGATAGAAGAACCAAAGATAGTATTTATTTATCAACAGAAGAATGTAGGTAGGTTAAAAATAAATGAATTGTTTCAGATTACAAAATGGGGACGACCATCCAAAAGAATTTTTAAACCCATCATTTTATAGGTACTAAAATTTATTATTAAATTATTAAAAATAAGGTCTTAAATTTTACCATTATCCCCCAGACTTAAACTTTACTAGCACAACAAAAAAAATATACTTATACATACTTTCAAGCAAATTTTCACCCTCCGTTTCCCCCCTTTAAAATGTGAAAATGCAAAAACCCTAAAATACTTCGTTATTTATTTATGATGAGAACCTACAATTCCAATTTTCAAGTTCCTGCCTAAAAAAAATTGATACTTTCAAATAAACTTTCATCCCTGGTTCCCCCTCTCTTAAAATGTCAAAATCCAAAACCCTGAAACACGTCATTATTAATTTGAACTCAGTAGCTGCAATTCCAATTTTCATGTTTTTAATTTTAAAGAAAACCAAAAACATGGATACTCCCAAATAAATTTTCACCCCGCATTTCCCTCTCTTAAAATGTGAAAATCCAAAAACCCTAAAACACGTCATTAATAATTTGTAGTCAGTAGCTGCAGTTCCAATTTTCATGTTTCTAACTTCAAAGAGAACAAAAAAAAATCGATAGACCCATACAAACTTTCACCCCTCGTTTTCTCCCCTTAAAATGTGAAAATCCAAAAACCCTGAAACACATCATTATTTATTTATGCTTAGTAGATGCAATTTAAATTTTCATGTTTCTAACTTTAAAGAACAAATAATTTCATTAAAAGCTCCTTTCCCCCATTTCCCCCCTTTAAAGTTCAAATTTAAAAAAATCCTTTTTTAGCGGATGCTTACGTTATAAAATAAAACTATATTCCAAATTTCAGCTTCTTAACCTGAGTAGTTTTGGCTGTACGTTGATAGGTCAGTCAGTTAAAAAAAACAATTTTAAATACGGAGTGTTCCATCTCAGAGAGCCACCCAGTATATTTCTTCCCCAAAGAAAATCATCCGACGTGTTTCGGGAAATTTTTGCAATTACTATGGAATAAGAGATATACTTGGTGGTTCGTATGAGATGGAACACCCTGTATATAGAAGATTATATAAGATTTGTTGAATGCAGTTACCGAATAGTTACTACACATTTACACAGACTTTAAATAAATGTTTTCATAACTGTTTTATAAATTTTCAATTTTGAGGTTATGCTGCATATTAAAATCAGTAACATTTTAGTTTTTTAAATGTATCTGGTGAAAACAAAAAATAAATTTTAGATTTGTCATATAACGCGGTTTAGATATAATGTATAACCCACAATAAAGTCATTTTTGGATGCGCAGCAAGAATTACTGTTAATTATATAGCATATACAATACTAAATTTTTAAGCGCCTTGAGATTCATTCATATTTCTATATCTAATATTTTTTCAGTGTGAAACAAAAAGTAAATTTATGCAACTCGATTTTTTTAGTAATAAAATTATGCTAATATTACTAATGATAAAAATTCTTGCATGCATGTATATGTCATTCCTCTACCTAAAGTCTCCCAACCGCTACAATTAAATCAACTAAGAAGTATAAGCATTCTCCCAGTCCTTTCCAAAATTTTTGAAAAACTCTTAGAAAAACAACTAAATTTGCAAATAAAAAAATTCGATATTCTTCCCAAAACCCAATCAGGATTTAGAAGTGAATATGGGTGTTCAACCGCTTTAGCCGATGTTACCGATGACATATTGCGCTCATATGATAAAATTATTAGAAAACACTTAACACCCATTTTAAATTACCACAAGCCGCCACTGGTGTAGTACAATAACAACCTGGCTATTTTTTAGGTAAAGCATTGGGATTTTAAGGTAGGGCATTGCCCCTAAGTGCCCCTTCTGGCTACGGCCCTGCTTCCGACGCCTGAAGGAGAAATACTATTGACCCATCACAAAATAGAATTATCATTATTCACATCTTATAAAATCGCTCAATAAATGATTATGTAATCATATTTGGAAAACTAACATACATAAATTGAAATTTTTCACAGATTACGAAAAAAAAAATAAACTCTTCAATATTTATAAATCATTGTATTTGAATTATGTTTTTTAAACAATAAAATGCGTGCTTTGCTGATACATGTGAAAATTAAATTTAATGATTTAAAGAACTTACTGGTATAATTTTGTTAGTGCGACTTATCTCTTTAACTGGATTATTCTGAAACATCCAAAATGAAACGTACAATTGTTGAAAAACGATTAGAACTATATAAAACGTACCGATTGTCGACGGTGCACATTGAAAACTGAGAGATTTTCCTCACGAAAAGCCATGACCGATCGTTATTCACACCCACCCTCCACGCCACCAGCCGAGTTCTACGTTTTGGTAACTTTTCATAAAGGTCAAAGGTTAGAAACATAAAACTTCAGCTAGATGTCACGTAATTACGAAAAATATTCTTAGGTTTTAAATGTTGCTATTGACTTTTTCTCGCCCTTCTGGTACATAATTGCTATTTATGATAAAAACGTTAAAAGTGGAATATTATAATATATTGTATCATAATGGGTTTGTTCGGGTTTCTTTAAAACTTGATGCAAACCGTCCGAGAACCAGTGAAACAGTTGAATTCCAAATTATTCTGGTGAACTAGTCCTCTGATAGTTCTCAATGTATTTTTGAAGAACCCGAAAAGTATTTTCAGGGAATTTTAAAAACGCAAAGAACACCAAAATATGTTTCTTCCATGATAACCAACCAATATTTGTCGAACTTGTTTTAGTAGAAAAAATAATTAGACTTACCCAATTCCATCGGGTATAACCAAGAGTTGATGTCCAAAATGAGGTCCATTTTGAACGATTCGCTTTCGCAATGAAGTCGACTCACTGAAACAAAAAATTTAGTCAATATTTTTGTTCTAAATATTTACGACATACTAATAGAATGTTATTACTTTTTGTGAATTAAAAAATCGGTTGGGAATAACTAATTATTAAATTTATTTTTGTTTTGCTGATTTTTTTTGGGATTTAGGTGTTGGATTTAATAAAAAATCCAGAGATTTAAATTTGTATTTATACATTTCGGTACCCTATAGTCTATTTTTATGTATGAGAGAGTAATAAAACAGCATTTCTAATGCAAAACTTAGTACGGTCATTTTAAATATTTTTATACAATCTAAATATTTCCTAAAATTGTAATAAATGTACCTGAGCTATTACAAGTTTTGGGTCTTTTATTGGTCCTTTATAAACATAAGCTGTACAGAACAATAGAAAAAGGTTTGGACAGGCCAAAAGCCCTGTGTATTAAAGATTACATAGCCGTATCTTAAGATTATTTTCAATAAGTACCTATTTGCCAATTTTGTTTTATTTTAATTCCAAGAATTTCTTACAGTAATCGAATTATAAGTAGATAAATACCTTCCCAACAAATTTCACCGAAAATGCGATTATAGGTTTTCCATTTAGTAAGGAGGTCCAAGTTGTGTATTCTTGACAGTTTACTAAATGTCGTTTAGTTACAACTTGCAAGGTGCAGTGTGAATTGTAGTGTGATCATGGAAAATTTGGAAGGGCCGCGTAAACGACAAAAAATCGGTCCTTTAACAGTTAATGAAAAAACATTAATATTTAATTGTTTTAAATCATTTACAGACAAACATTTATGTAAAAGTGTTGATGACACAGTGGAATTAGTTAGTAGTACGCTTGGTGTTGGGAAATCTACGATTTACAGAGTTGTTAAAGAAGAGAAATGTGGCTAGTTTCAAACAGCACGTAGAGCTCCAGGAAAACCAAAATTTCAATTAGAAAATCTTTTGAAAGAAAGATTTCGAAGGAAAGTGCATGCGTTCTTCTTTAGAAAAGAATTTCCGACAGTAGACAAAGTTCTTGCCACGGTTCGAGATGATAAGGATTACCCTGAAATGAGTCGAAGCACACTATGGAAACTTTTAAAAGAAATAGGTTTTCTATGGAAAAAGCATTCCAGAAAGTCTATTTTAATAGATAGAAGCGATATTGTAGTATGGAGAAGAAATTACCTAAGGACTATAAAACAAATGAGAAACCAAAGAAGAATATATTTTATTTAAATGAAACATGGATCAACGAGGAACATAAACCAAATAAATTTTGGCAAGATGAAACTGTTACAAGTCGAAGGCAGGCTTTTTTAAATAATTTATCTACTGGTTTAAATCCACCATCAGGAAAGGGGCGCATACTAATAATAGTACACATCGGTAGTTCAAACGGTTTTGTTAAAGGTGGTTTATTGACTTTTGAATCTACTCGTACCGGTGATGTCTTTAAAGAGTGGTTCGAACAAATTATAGATCTTCTTCCTCAGAACTGTATAATAGTAAAGGATAATGCAAGTTATCACTCGAGACTTATAGAAAAAATGCCCACAACCAAGTGGTTAAAAAAAGATTTACAGAATTGGCTAAATTCAAAGAATATTAAGTTCCATCCCGGTTCTGTGAGAAAAGAACTGTATCATTTGTGTTCCCTTCATAAAGATAAATTCAAAAAATATGAAATTGCAAAAAAATCGTGGGATGACGGTGGTTAGATCATCACCATATCATTGCGAAGTAAACCCGATTGAACTGATATGGGCACAGATAAAGGGAGAAGTTTCAAGAAAAAATATTTCTTTTAAAATAAGTGATGTTAAACAGTTGTTTTCGGAGGCTGTAAATAATGTGAAGCCTGAAAACTGGGAAAAGGCAGTAAATCATACGATTAAAGAAGAAGAGAAAATGTGGAAGTTGGACAATATTACTGATAAAATGATCGAGCCACTCATTGTAAATATTGGTTGCGACAGTTCATCTTCTGATTTCGATTCTGATTTGGATTTGTAGGTAAGAAGTAGTTTTTATATTAAAATTATTATTTATGAACGTAACGTTGTTTAAAAGTCAAAGTTTAAACCCTTATACCTACATAACCCGTTTGACACAATGTTCTTAACATACCTTGTGGAAAAATAAAACATTTTAGAAAAAATTGCACTTTTTTACCTTCAGCTGTTTAGAAGTTATAAGCAGGTTAATTGGGTGAAAATATAAGTGTATACTCGAGGAATAACTTCAAAAAATATTTTAACTCTCTACCAAAAGTAGTGGTACGCCTATGGATTACGAACGCATTATTATTTTAATACTCTCTCATACATACAAATAGACTATAGTTTGGAACTTCTTCAGTACAGTGCATTTTGATTTATTATTTTTCGTTTAAAATGTTTTGTTTAGCACCATTTTATTATTACTTTGTACAAATGATTTTTTATCTGTAATTTAAAAAAAAATATTGTTATCAGTGTAATTGTTTTCTAAATTGCATACACCAAATATTTTGTACAAAGTAATTATAACATGATGCTAAACGTTTTTAAAAGAAAATTCTGCCCTTCTTCAATTCTGAACTTACGTTTCCCACTTTTATTTGGAATTTACGGTCATTAGGGTAGGATTTAAATAGGGTAAAATACAGATAAAAGTTTCGTTTGATTGTATATAAGACCATTACGCTAAACTTGGTAAAAATCTTGGCTTATATCCAAGAATTTAGTAGTTTCGGTCTTCGAAAACTTTGCTATTATGTCTTTTTTCGATTAATATGAGACACACTGAAACGTTGTAAAAGTATCCCAAGTTACAAATTCATTACTATTACTCTAAAGTGAACTGAACGAAACAAGAATCACTAAAAAAGGCACGTCCTAGCTTGTTTCGCAGTTTTAAAATGTCAAAGTTGTGTGCGATCCTATTGTAACTAAAATTAAAGCTGTTGAGTGTACCTTTATTTAAAAATAGGAAAACCTTTCAGTGATCAATATAAACAATTAACTTTAAATATAGTTTGATATTTCGAAAAGAAGAAATGTAATTATGAAGGTGATGGAAATACATTATACAGAGTGTCCCATTAGTGCGTAATTGTTCCATATTTCCAAGTTTCAAATAAAAGTTATATGAATTTGAAAAAATACATATTTTAAAAATATTTTTGGACTTACATGATGTTGCGTTTTTGCCTGGCAAATAAAAATGTATATTTTTTAAATAGAACACCCTGTATTTTATTTCAGTTTTAGAATAGTTTTGTAATACTCTATTCAATCCTAGAATGTTTTTAAAAAATATTACAGGATTGCTTGGCAATTTTTTTTTATGAAATTAGAGAATGATGCCGACCCCAACTTAAATTATCATAATTTAGGTAGGTTTGCAATGATTTTAAAATTTTAAAAATAAGATTACGAATAGTGGTGATATCTTCCCATGCGAGAGTCACAGGTTAAAATTTGGGCTGGTGACTAATTAAATAATTTTTTTCTCATATATATTTCATTTTATAAATTAGTAAAAGTCATAAATTATTTTCAAGTATTTTGTCTTAATAACCTAAAATAATTTTTTTTTAATTTGTAGATTTTCGTTAGTGGATCGTAGAAAAAATATACCGTACAACTCGAGTGGATTGTTCATATCGCGATATGGCCATCATATCAATTTTTCTTGCACAAACTACTATTCTGTCTCACAAAGTTGATTTTATCAGTGACAAGTTTCGAAGTATTTATCATGAATTTATCATCAGGCATGCCTAAATGGATAATTATGGAGTCAACAAAAAAAATAAATATGGTAATAAAAAATAAAGTTTAAAAAATTTAGGTACAATATCTTTCATTATTAAATTAAAAATTCACAAAAATATCACAAAAAAATTAACATCTTACACGTGGACTAAATAAGGATAAAATAGAGTTGGATTAAAAATTAAGAAAAGTAAGAAAGTTATAAAAATAACAACGAATTATAAATACTAACATGAATATGTTATTTAACAAATTGTCTGTCTAGATGGCGTTGTAAAACTATATCAATAAATTTAAATTTGTGAATAGATTAGTCAATTTATTTGTAAAAAATAGAATAATATTAAAAGATACATAGGTAATTTTATTATATTATTGTTAACAAATCAATAAAAAAAAATATTGTCATGGTGTTTGGAGATAATTGCATGTCACCTGGTCAAATTTTTGAATGACTCAAACGATTTAGGGAAAGTCGGAAGGTTTTTGAAGATGACGAACGTTCTGGTCGACCTGTGACATCAAAAACTGATAAAAACATGGGTACCTTAGGGCCACACTAGCAGTACTACTGAGACAGCTACCCGGCGCACAAAGCGTTTTCTGTGAAACAGTTCTTAACGGACGCATTACTGTGCTGCTCAAGCATCCATAGTATTCACCAGATCTCGCACCATGCGACTTTTATCTGTTTCCATAAGTGAAAAGTGCATTGAAGGGAACACATTTTCAGTATGTGGTAGTGTGGGATCTTTTAAAATGTCGGATCCCATCATAAATAAGTTCTTTTACTAAGATGTATAAGATCTATTTAATTCGTAGAATAGAAAGACATGCCTTGCATATAAAAATATAAAAGTCATAATATCATGATCAATAATAAATCTTAGCAACCAAAGTTGCTTAGGAGATGAGTTTATCCTTTGTCATACAAGGACTGCCACAAATTGAAGGGTTAGCTAAAAAGTGTTGTGTGTGACATTTTAACGTATGTAGTGCAACTAAGGCGCTACAGGTAGAAGTGAATGAAAAAACGGAAGACTTACTGAAGAAGTTGACACTTAATGACCGGCGTATGCAGCGGTGTATAGATAGGGAAGGGTAGTATTTTGAAGGGGATTTAAAGCTATTTGTAATAAGATTTTAATAAACTAATTTTTAAGACTAGTCCGGTTGTTTAATTGTCGCACCTCGTATTATACAGGGTGTTCGACAAGTACGGTACATAACGTCAGGAGTGTATTCTGGATGTAAAAAAAGG